CGGTTCTCACGTTGCTGTATCCAACACATACCTGAAGAAAGAAATACCAAGGAACATAACGCGATCAGCATCGCCATTTTGAGCACTGCAATACACCTTCAATGGTAATACAAATATGGGTTGACCTAGATTACGAAGCTTGACGTCTATCTACAGGGTGTTACATGTAAACGTTTTTGGCTAGATAGCAATGAATGCATAAAATTGGAGCTCCCGAATGTCAATTTTGATATTCTCGAAAAATGTTCACTATAACCTGATCATATTTTGATTAAATATGATAGATGCTGTGCCAAAAATGAGAACAACAAAAGAGACATACGAATGTTCTTGCGCACGTTACATAGAACCAAAATTTATAGATCACGTGCCAAGGCCACATCCAATCCCGGAACTGTCGGGAAACAATATGGCTTGCCTCAGTATCTTTTACTCAATATTATTTTATAGAGGTAAAGTAACACAGTATGTACTGTTGTCTGATGTGTGTTTGCTTACATCATAGTATTTTAAAGATATAAGCATAATGTTATTAATAATTTAGTAAAAAAAAAAGCATATAGTGGCTATTAGATAGCCGGCCAAGTCCAGGGTAAAATATATATCTATCGTTATATTGTTTTTCTTTTTAGGAATAAACGCCGTGCAATTTATTTCACAGTCAACAGTGAGCTCCGTAGTGGAGCAAGGACACGGGGTGACTCTACCTTTCAATTATACATTAGACCAGGCTGAGAGTGACTCTGTTTTAACTATAAGCCTTTACTTGAACGATACTGAAGATACTGGTACAATCTTTTCTTACAATGAATTCAGAGGAGACATATTGGAAAACAAGACTAAGGGATATCTTGTGGGACGATCTGATGTTCAAATACTGTCATCTCCACGGACATATGTTGCCCTGTTAATAGAGAAAACTACGTTCAGTGACACAGGAAAATACATATGGAATATACAGATTGGTGGTGCAAGAACATCTGATGTCCCTATAGAGCTGATTGTAGGAAGTAAGTATTAGTTGTCATTTTTTTTACTATTTAGATTCGCTTTACTCTTGGGCGAATGGAACGTTTTATGCGCAAATCTTTGGAAGGTGGTCAGCCCAGACGGACGAATCCACACATCTACCCGGCATCATCATCCCCGGTATAAATGTCACTGCAATAAACCAAAATCTCTTGAACAGCCATACCTCTCGGGCGTTAATTTCCACAAAAAAATAACATTATAATTTCTCAAATTTAATAAAAAAGACATGTAAGTCATTTAAGTAATTTAAGCTTGTAAAATGTTGTTTGCACGGTTTTGATAGCTATACCTGTGACCAAGGCTTGCTAACCAATAAAGCATCTGAATTAAGTATTGCACGGTAAATAAATGGAAATTGCTTAAACATTTTGATATCAAATATTGCAAGCGATACTGAGTCTCGTTGTCGTCATTTTAATAATTGTAAAGTCGTGTTTGTGAGGTAGGGTGTATTATTCTTTAAGAAATCGACCTGCCATGGAACCTCGCGGTGTCATGGACAGAGAGTTAATCTGTCATTTTGATAATGCATTAATCTTTTTAAAAAAATGGATGAAATTAAAATTTTTGAACTAAATTTATTTGTAGTGGATACAGAGGAGACAATTGATATGACGTCATCACTTTGTGTGAACGCAGCTGAGTCGGTCAGCCATATTGACGTTATTCATTTGTTTATATGTTTGTATAAAGATACGGAACATAACATGGTGGCAGCTAAAAAGGATAGGGAAGGGCACCGCAGACTGTAAGTACTGACATACTCATTCTCACCCTGAAAGCGTGTGAAAGAAGACACTTGACCTAAACACGAGGTAAGCCCTCCCTCTACCCACGGAAAGAGAAAGTAGTTCCTTCCAGCTAACAGTAAGGATTAATACATTAATATATCGGAGACACCATATTCCCTGCTAGTGTGGTTTGTTGTGCATATTGGAGACCTGTAAGTCTGCCGGAACACTTGATTTGTATGTGTTTACAACCTACCAGTCACCAGAGTAACTGTTATTACTCAAGTCCCTATCATGTCGATGTCAGATGAGGAGCAGCAAACTGGGAGTAGGAGGGAATCCAGTAGATTTATATCGGGAATCAGACCCCTTAGCCCTTTAGATCTCCAGTCTGGAAAGGTTGAAAACTGGAATCTATGGAAACAACAGTGGGGAAACTACACAATCATATCCAATCTTGGATCCTAGCCACAGCAATATCAGGTCGCCATGCTGTTGAATGCGATAGGCACAGAAGCTCTCCGAATTTATAATGATTTTGCTTTCGAAGGTGATGCTGAGAAATTTTATCAACATATCATTGGTCAATTGAGTGAGACATATGAGCGATACCAATTTAACAGTAGGCAGCAAGGGGAAGAAGAAAGTTTCGATGCCTATATAACAGCTCTGCGTTATCTGAAGAAGAGCTGTAATTTCTGTGAATGCCTAGGGGACACGCTGCTACGTGACCGCATAGTTATAGGTATCAAGGATGACGAGACACGCAAGAAGCTTCTTGAAATACAGAATCTCTCTCTAGACATGTGTATTAATATCTGCCGCGCCAATGAGGCAACCGGTGTCCGCATGAAGCTAATTCACACCAGAGGTCCCAGCGAAGAAATCCACGGCGTAAAGCAAATGACAAAAGCAAGAGAACTCAAGCCGGGAAAAGGAACAAGCAAAGGAGGCGGGTCAAATGGACACGCTCAAACATGCAAGTTCTGTGGGCGGACGCATGAGCTGAAGAAGGAGTCCTGCCCAGCATGGGGAAAGACATGCAGCATATGTAAAGGAAGAAACCATTTCGCCATTATATGCAAAAAGAAGAAGACACACTGTGCACACTGTACACACTGAAGATTCACAGGAGGAAAGTGATTGTGAGATCATAAATGGCGTAAACACTGTTAACAAAGAGAGACGGAGCCACGGCAAGCTCATATATGCAAACATGCTCATTAGAAACCAGCCCGTGAAATTCCAGATTGCTTGTGGTGCATCGGTTAATCTAATCACACGACACCATGTGTGCACAACGACGATACACCCAGCCGCAAGCACATTAGAGATGTGGGACAAAAATCTGAAACAGCCACTGGGTGAATGCAGACTGAAGATGGTCAACCCAGCCAATGGGAAAAAATACTCCCTGAAATTTATCAATATAGAAGATCGCAATCTCATGCCTATTCTAGGAGTGTCAGCAAGCCAGCAAATGGGGCTTATCTCTGTGCACTCGAAGAATTTTGAACGAATAGCAGTCGTACAGCAGAATGAAAGTGAGACTGACACTAATTGCACCATCATCAAGAAATACGCTGATGTGCTCAATGACGATGTGGGACACATGCCTGGCACTGCGACACTGCGAGTGGACCCAACGGTAACACCGGAAGTGTCACCATCGAGACGTGTTCCAGTTGCACTCAGACAGAAGATAAAGGTGGAGCTTGACATGCTAACAGAGTAACATGTGATCAAGCCTGTGAATGAGCCAACCGACTGGGTTAGTGCCATGGTCACAGCTACGAAGAAGTCCGGCGAACTACGTATCTGCATAGACCCTAGACCACTGAACAAAGCCTTAAGAAGAGAACACTTCCCTTTATGCACCCTGGACGATGTGCTGCCCGAGTTGTCAAAGGCCAAGGTAGTTTCCACGATGGACCTTAAGGCCGGGTATTGGCATGTAGAGCTGGACGAGGAATCGTCATTCCTTACGACATTCGCCAGTACGCTTGGCCGTTACCGATGGCTGTGACTGCCATTCAGCCTGAATGTGTCATCTGAGATCTTCGCCAGGAAGCTTGATGAATGCATCCACAGTTTAGATGGTGTGATCTGCATCGCAGATGACCTAATGGTCTATGGAACAGGAGAAACAGACCAGGAAGCTCTAAGAGACCATGACGAGAAACTCGAAAATCTGCTGAAACGATGTCAAGAATTGGGCATACGTCTAAATGCCAACAAAATGAAACTGCGCCAGAAGTCAGTCACCTTCCTAGGACATCTGATCACCAATGAAGGCTTGAAGCCTGACCCGAAGAAAGTGGAAGCGGATTTGTCAATTACCTAGCTAGGTTCCTCCCCAGACTATCCGATGCCATGGGACCAATCAGGCAGCTGATGAAAAAACTTGTGAGTGAAGCACCGATTCTGCACTATTATGACCCAGAAAAAGAGCTGACCATCCAGTGTGATGCAAGCAAAACTGGACTCGGGGCAGCCTTGCTCCAAGAAGGACAGCCGATAGCCTTTGCCAGTCGATCACTCACCGATACAGAGACAAGGTACGCTCAGATAGAAAAGGAGATGTTGGCGATTGTATGGAGCACTGAGAAGTTCCATCAGTATACTTTCGGTCGTCAGTTTAATGTGATGTCAAACCACAAGCCTTTACAAAGCATCATAAAGAAGCCTTTGGCTAACGCACCAAAAAGACTGCAAGGCATGCTTATGCGACTGCAGCAATACAATGCATCTGTATCGTACACACCCGGCAAAGAGATAACTCTAGCATACACTCTGTCCCGAGCATACCGACAGACAACAGAATTTGAGAATGTAAACGCAACAAAGCATGTGGCAATCTCGGAATCAAGGCTTGAAGTCATCCGGAAAGCAACGGAAATCGACCAGACTATGACTGCGCTTAAACAACAGATACTTCAAGGGTGGCCAAATGAGAAGGCACATCTATAACCACTAGTGCACCCTTACTTTTCATTCAGAGATGAGTTAGCAGTCCATGATGGTCTAATCTTTAGAGGAGATCGTGTCATCATCCCCATGAGTGAACGCGCTACGATGAAGGAGAAAATCCACTCGTCACACTAAGGGAGAGATGGGTGCCTGCGACGAGCCAGGGAATGCATTTTTTGGCCGAACATGACGCAGGAGATTCGTGACTACATATCAGGATGTAGTACTTACAGAGCCTTTGAAGTGGCGAACCCAAAATAACCTCTCATGAACCATGATACACCTGACCGACCATGGGCCAAAGATGGTACAGACATCTTCACCAATCAATGGAAAGATTACCTCATAACGGTGGACTACAACTTTTGGGAAGTAGACATGCTACCCACGACTGATGCCAAAGCGGTGATACAGAAACTCAAAACCCATTTTGCTAGGTATGGCATCCCGGACAGCATTGTCTCTGACAATGGACCTCAGTTCTCTTCTGAGGAGTTCCAGAAATTCTGCAAAGCCTGGGACATCACACATATGACCATCAGTCCATACAACAGCAGAGCTAATGGCAAAGCGGAATCAGTGGTCAAGACGGCAAAACGGATCATGAGGAAATGTAAGGAAGCTGGAAGCGACCCTTACCTCGCAATCCTCGATCACAGGAACACTCCTTCTCAAGGAATGTTATCCAGTCCTGTACAGCGCCTGATGAGCCGTAGGACAAAAACCATGTTACCAACTGCTCCCGCCCTCCTCAAACCAGAGGTCGTTGACATAAGACACACAAAACGGGACATTAAGCACGACCAAGCAAAACAGGCTATGCATGCCAACAAGTCCTCTCACCATCTTCCTGCTTTAGACGAAGGGGCCACTGTCCGACTACAGCCATTCAAGATGGGACAAAAAACCTGGACCAAAGGGACGGTTCTACAGAAACTCGATGAAAGATAATACACCATTGAGACGCATTCTGGAATACTGAGGCGAAACAGGCAACACCTCAAAAAGACCAAGGAACCAAACACACGCCAGGAACCAAAGATACAGCCGGGGGACAGCGTCATCAAACCCACAGTGATCCCCACCTCACCTGCAGCAGCTTCCAGAGTGGAATTGCCTGCAAAGCCAGATGACCATGGAAAACTCGATGTGCCAGCAACAACTGCGCAAGAGAAGGCAAGAAGCACACCAGTGACGACAACCCGGTCTGGCAGACAAGTGAAGGTACCACTACGGTACCAGTGAGTTTCCATCTTGTAAACGGACATGACACCTTAGGGCAAAATAATCCCTGTGTCAATCATCTGTGGGTGTCAGGCAGTCAACCTGACCCCACAAACTGTGTTTATTTTAAGGTTTCATTTTCAAAACAAATAGACAGACCGAGAGTTACATAAGAACACTTACGATAATTATCGGATAATATCTAAATTTTAATTCTACTGATATTTGACTGTTTGGCAGACTCTTACTTTAAAACGTTCTACTCTATTTTATACTGTTGTAATTGTTTTAACTTGTTAAAAGGGAGGATGTTGTGTGTTTTGATATGACTTCATCGCTTTGTGTGAACGCAGCTGAGTCGATCAGCCATATTGAATCTAAATAAAGCTAAGCAGCACTTCCAAAGCACGTTATTCCTTTGTTTATGTTTGTATAAAGATACGGAACATAACAGAAACAACACCGTTAAACAGGACTGCCGTTCATGCTACAAATGTCGATTTTTTATTGTAGCAAACTACGTTTAATGACAGGGAGTTCTATTCAAAAATTTGACGCAAAAACATGATATCCCAGATAAGTCCATACCATTGGGCAACTATTTAACCCCGCGGAGAAGATAGAAAACACTTTTTGGCAACTTCGAGTGAAATGAATAAACATACAACATGCCTCATATATGATATATTAAAACGTGGAAAATATTGAAAATATCATACATGTACATAATCCTGTAATTAAAATTACATTGATGAGTGCTACTATTTCAGATGAACCGGGATCAGTTTCACTGGTGTCCCGCGTTGAAGGAGGGATGGTGTACACGTTAAATTGTACAGTGACGGGAGGAATTCCATCACCAAGTGTCACAATATTGAATGGCACCGAGGTTATCCACATCAGCTCAGCATCAACGACGACAATAAAGGTCACTGTGGAGTTTCCATCAGTATTTTACTGTGTCGGTACCAATATCATGGGATCTTCAAATAAAAGCCTTGCATTGCCTGATCCAAGTAAGTTTTTAAAATAACAATGCTTAACTGAAACGGAATTTATTCACAAAATAGCTAACTGAATATTTTATGGTGACCTATTTTAAAGCGTATAACCGGATGAAATGTTTTAAACTTTTAGGGTGATTTTATAAAAAAAAAAGCTTATCAATTAATTGTTCTTATTGTCTAAAAACTATGAAAATTGCTTTCTATACCAGAAGCTGCAAAAAAAATGAACGACTCAAACGTATTAAAGAAATAAGCCAAGACAAAATTGAGAAATGTACACCAATCTGACACATTCTAAATTGAAGAGACCATGCAATTTCTCGAGGTAAAAGATGACATAAGCAAGAGTAGGATACTTGAGTCACTTTTCTTCAGATCAAGAAATTCGATGTGTCCTGTCCAACATCTCCTTCTAAACCATTGATTAGCCTTTTCTTTATAAGTTTTTTGCGTGTGTGTGTCAGTAATACTTTACAACGGCAACAGATAAGAAGGCTTTATGCCACCACCACAAGCTTGATATATGCCATCACAAATACCCACTGGTACAGGCCGCCTCATGCAGGCCAGCTATATGTGCAAATTATGCAGTACCACCCGCTTTCTGTAAAGTAGGCGCAGTTTTGGTGATCTGGCCAATCCCATCTCATCTCAGTGAACTGAGGACCGACCTCTAACACGCAGGTCGGAATATTTTATAAGAATATTCATATTAAGTACAGTGAATTGAAGAAATTTCGATTGCAGATGCTTGATGTTCCTACAACTACAGCAGCTGACCTACAGAAGTCCTACATCATTGTCATCTTCATCAGCAGTCATGCATATTATTACTCAGTCTCTTTTCGATTAAAATATCACTCTTGATCTTCACCAATATTATGCCATACTTATGCAATACGTTCAGTTTATTTGCCGTAAATGGGACTTTCAGAGATGTTAATTGTGTTTTTTTGCAAACAATACTATGTAAAATTTGTTTCAAATTTAAATTAATACTTAATCGGAATGCTCTTCATTGTTCTTCAGTACTTTTCAGTTCCTTACCGATTTTCAAATGTAGTTATTAAATTAGAGTCTTGAGAGAATAGAGCCTGGAGGAGGTTTATCACCCAGGAGACTGACTACATTATGCTTAATTTCTGTTTGGACAAGAATTATTCTGCTGAATTCATCAGTGCTTTTATAAATGCCATTTGGCCAAAATTTAAATATATTGGGAAAGCTTGGGGGATATTTTAATGATTTATATAATAATGTTAACAGTTTTGTAGTACGCCACATTTGTCTGTGTTTGTGCCTACCTGATACAGAATTAAAGAAAGGCGCGTTGTCTGTACAGATCATTACGGTAGTGCATGCAATTAAATTTTCTAGCTATTAAATTTTTCAGCCAGGAAAATATTGCCCTAATCGCTGTAACACACATCCTCATGAACATTTTATCCGATCTTGATGAAATCAATCCACTAAACCAGCATCCACTAACGCTATATTTTCCCCTTTACAGTCGCAACTGTTGCCTTCAACCTCCCCAGTTACAACTACCCGGGACAATACAGGTAATTTTGGCTTACTATTTCTTTTCTAAATTCAATTAACCACTGCTTTTCAAGAGATGGAAAGTATTCTTCATAAATTTGTCAGCATCCCTTTATTCACTGCTTGCTTGACAAAAAAAGGAAAATTGAATGGCAGTATTGTCTGTATTTAAGATGTATATTCATGAAATATAGATTTGAAATATTGGTTCCGAATTCCAGCTTCTACCACCACTAAACCCCCAGATAAAAATCAAACAGAAGATAATACAGGTACACCTCTTAAACTGTGTCAGCAGTTTCTGCTGAAAGTAGGGATACTTTCTTTTTTTCTTTCTTTCTTTTTTTTTTTTTTTTTTTGCATTTTTGTGACCAAATGCCTTTGATTTTTAATTATAAGATGTTGACGCTCATTATGCAAAGCACCATGAATATCCATAAGTTCGTTTAATCAGTAATCATTTCAGAGAAAAATGTCGACTGTGAATTACACCCTAAATTTTCCTATTCATAGGACAAACGCCAACGACCGGTAAGAGAAAATATCATGATCTACGGGGTTTATAATCATTTTGATTGCAAAATTGTGATTGCAATAATACTTGAATATAATTAATGGAATATTGGATTTAAAAAAATCACAACACTTTGCTGCATGAAGAAATCAACATGGGGCTTTATTTGTTTCGGTGTGTGTCTGCTTTTGTCTAATCCAGCATTACCTCCTTTACCAAAATGCATTATTCTCTCACTGTTTTCTCCGCGCAGATTACGTGTCCGCCTATGTGGTCAAGCAAGGTTGCTTTATGCGCTTATGTATTGGCTCTTTTATGAACTTCTCTTTCCTCCCGCCGAACCAAGTATTTAAACCGAATTTTATTTTAAAAGTTTCTTTTTGGGATCACTAAGATATTTAAAATATTATGTTTTAGCTAAGGCCCCGGGTAGCCCAAGTAATCCTCCTAACACGGCCCTCATTGTTGGAGTAATATATGGTTGTGTCGGCGGCTTCTGCATCATCGTCATCTTGTGAGTGTGTTTAAGAAAAAGAAGCATAGGACAAAGCCTGGTAAGTCTAATTTAATTCAATGTTTTTGAATTTCAATACATTATCTTTATTTATACAATGTGTCCAACTTATGACAATGATATACATAACATTGGAGGAAATTAAAATAGAACCAAGTGGCAAAACTTTACTGGCAAACGATAATAGTCATAATTCTCTTATCTACCATGGGAAAAAACTTACTTTAGAGCAGAAAGATGTACAAAGCAACGCCAACACGTGTGAGCAACAGGAAAACACCACCACACCTTCGACACAGGTAGGTATTTCATACACAATAGCAAAAAGGGGGTGATAGAGATTAGCATCTTGCCCTAGGTGCTACTTGTAGGTGGGGGCATTGGCACGTTAATATGAACTTTTACAAATGAAGTGCTTCACAAATTCGATATGACTCAATAGATACAGTGTATACCACTGATTATATAACATACCCCTGCAGGCATAGTGACGTTGGATCAACGTTGAAAACAGGTTAATACGTTGTAGAAAAGTTTCATTAGCTATGTTATTGTAATAGACTTGTGAAGATTCTTTTGTCTATAGATACTTATATTTGTCTGATCTTACCATCCAATATTTAATCTGCTTTCCGTCAGACTTCATCAGGGAATGAGGTTGTGACAGGTATGACAACCTGTCACCCCCTCTGGTGTGCTATTTGGTCAGATCCCCCCCCCCCCTTGCCTGCCACTCCCTTAGGAGTGGTAGGTAGAGGTTGGGTAGCTCAGTCCCATCATTCCGATTTAACTTGGCCCCATGTAAGCGATCCATGTTAATTGCTTCAAGAAACTTTCCGGTGTAGATCTCGTGGCTCTCGATCTTTCCAAGGTTTTTATGTCTTCTATGGTTGTTGATGTTATACAATGCCCTGTCTGTTCCTGGTTTTGGCTGAGGGCAGATTGTTTGAGCTACCCAACCTCTACCTACCACTATACCTGTCACAACATCATTCCCTGATGAAGTCTAACTGCAAGTAGATGAAATATTGGATGGTAAGATCAGACAAATATAAATAGCTATAGACAAAAGAATCTTCACAAGTCGAGGTTAATACGTTGAATTGCCGTTGATCTACCTAAATTCAATGTAAAATCAACGTTGATCCAG